GGTAGGCAAGTGTCTCCCTCTTGATCTTCTCTATTCCTTCTAACTTTTTTTCTTTTTTTAGAAAAACATTTTTCTACCCTGTTTGTGCTTTTCTCTTGTTAATTTGTCTTTTCTTCCCTCACCTAGTACAGAAAGCGTCCAGACACCTCCACTTTGGCCTGTGTTGGGCCTCTGGATTTAGCTTCACTGCTGTGAGCCCCCACCCCCAGCCAGGCACACCCCTCCAGACTCCTGTGCAGCCAGGTAGATGAGTGTCTCTCTCTTGGCCTTCTCTGTCCCTTCTAACTTTTTTCCTTTTTTTAAAAAAAAACAACTTTTTGCTCTGTTCGTGCCTTTCTCTTGCTAATTTGTCTCCTCTTACCTCAATTAGGACAGAAAGTATCCAGGAACCTCCACCTCTGACTGTGCCTCAAGCATACCTGGGCAGTTTTCAGTTTTTAACCCAATTTCATTTTCTGCAGCATGATTTTATTTTTTTCTCTTTTCTTCTATTACTTTCTTTTTTCTTTGATTTTTCTATTTCTATTTCCTACTTTATTTTTCTTTTATCTCATTTTTTCTGACTTACTACCCACTTCCTAGAGACAACTAGGTTCATAGTAGCTAAATATCTGAACACTGTGAGTTTTAGAGAATTCTTGGTACCTCCCTGCAGTGCTTGCAAAAATAGTGAAATATCCCTATATAAATCTGATTGCAAAACTCCTCCTGTGATTCCCATATTGGAGGACTCAGTAGAAGGAAAAATAACACCAAATTATTTCACAGTGGGGGAAACACATGAGCTCACAGTCTCCAAATCCTTCTTCAACACATTGGCTAGAAGTGAATACATTACCAAATGATTAAAAATCAGAAAAGAATCTCAAGAATTAGAGAATCAAGTAATACATCTCCAGCAAAAGAATACTGGAACTTGTCTCCAAGTAGGGAAAAATTAGAGGATATTACCAAAATGTCATAAAAATAATTGATAATATTTATGGTAACAAAACTCTATGAGATACAAGAGAAAAGAGATGTGGGGCTCAAAGAGATGAGGAAGTCCTTCCATGATATGAAAGAAAAATTTGACACCAGAAAAAGAATAAAATGGAACTGTTAGATATGAAGGCTGTACTACAGAAAATTAAAACCTTCCTCGAAAGTATCAAAAGCATGTTGGACAATGCAGAAGATAGAATTTCAGAAGTAGAAGACAACACTTCTGACCTAGAAAAAGTTATCAAAAATACTGACAAAA